TCTTACTAATGGGGTGATTATGCCCGCCAAAAATACCTGTCCATGCTAAAAAGGAAACTGTTGATAAAAATATGGACATTAACAATAAGAATATTGTAATTCTGTATAAAGAAAAAAACGATCAATTTCTCTGTGATATTTATCCGAAGTTATTTTTAATAATTTTATCATTAATTCTGAGAAAGTGCACATTCAAAACCCAAACAACGACAAGAGTCAAATATTAATGCTTCAGTAACTAATCTATCAAGTGATCAGAATATGAAAGAAGAATTCAGAGTAAAAGAGATTTAACAAGTGTATTTGTGTTCCATGAGACCCCTAAAAAGCCATCTTAATAATATGTGTCGTCTTAGTACCAAGTGGACATAATAGTTCAAAGAAGAAAAATGATAAGTTAGGTTTCTCTGTGTTCTATACACATTGAGTTTTAATGGAAAAGGAAAGGGATCAAATGTGGGGGAACTTACTTTTAAATTAGTTCAGAGAAAGTGCTGGTTAGCTTTTCTGATCTGACTGCCACCAATGTTTATCTCATAAAGCAGTGGTTTTGATGTGAAAGAGATTCGCCATTATCATTTTCGTTTCTTCGTTCTATTTCATTCTATTTCTTTTTTTATATTTCTGCCAACCCATCTTCCATCTGAAATTATTAATTAGAATTTGGAATCTTTGACTACTATATATGATATATAGTACCACTCATTGGAAGGAACACAAGTGTACATACATTTCTAAAATGATCACACAGTTTTGGGAAAATGTAGAAAGGAAATCAAAGTAAGCATCCAAAATGAACAGCATCTCCACTTTGAGCATGTATGGCAGTGACTGAATGCATTCATCTCTGCTTGGCTCTTTAGTTCCAGTGTTCAGAAAACAGTGTCACACACATCTATATTGCTTTTTGTGGATATGCCGCTACTCGCAATTCTGTGCTGGAAGTCAAGCCCCTTAAAAAAAAAATATTGTAAACCAATTTAGAAAGAGAATCCTGAGTGTATAAACGACATTATTTATCTAATTGCTTTTAGTTTTTGCCTATTCGAACATTATATAGTTTATTCCATTTGTTGGCATGAGCAATGCTAAGCCACACAAACCGGAGTGCTCCCCTTTCCTCCCATTGATTTGTATAAGGACTTGTAGACAACGCACATTCACGCATATGGGCAAAGATAGATATGCACATAATGATATAAGCAAGTTAAAGATATCCACGTGCATTGAAAAATCTTATCAAAATGGGCAAAAGAATATATGCAATATTGATAGGCACATGCTACATATATTGGGCAATTTTCAGCTCTGACACTAACTGAACATTCGTTGGCAATGGTGAAATCGGAGGGGTTAGGAGGGACGATTACCCTTCTCAAATTCATCAAATCTTTGTCTTAAATTTTGACGTAAAAGTTATGTAGTAGTGTAACATAAGTTTGCCTTAGAGAGTTCTTCAAATATAGTTAGGTATCAATTTATTACTGTGTTGCCTACCTAAATTAGTATAAACTTTGAAATCTTTGTCCTCTTCACCTATGTTATACCGACACGAGACACAACATAATAAGTTAATATGTTAATTCTAAAAAATATTAAATTTCGACACATTACGATACGTTTTGATATTAAATAATATATATAATATGATTTATATTTAATACATATATATATATAGCAGTTCATAATAAATTATATAACTAATCAAATATTCAAATTTCATAATAAATATAAAGCAAAAATAATTTTTCATGCCTTGTTAATTTTTCGTCTCGAATTCCATAATAGAAAATATTTAATTTATAAATTAATTTTTTATGTTTAGTTAAAAAGATAAAATTAAAAAAAATGAGTGTCAAAAAATATTAACCGAGTATCAAAAATATTAACCGCGTATCGGAACGTGTCGACACACGTTTCTCAAAAAAGAATTGCTTGTCGGTGCTTCGATGATCCTCACAAAATTTTCTGACTCCGTTGATTCTAATTGTTGGAGATTACTCGTAGGATGGTACATATATACGTGGGAATAAGTGCCTACTAGCATTCTGTTCCCAACAACATACCATTGCCAAAAACAGATAAAGTGATAGTAAGTTTAATTGATCCATTAGAACCATCATTAACAACATATATTATGGTCTCCTAAAATATGATTAAGTTAACATTCTTTGCTTTAATGTCACTAGTAATGCTGTTGCCTCTCCTTTTTGCTCGTGCACCCACTAAGGCATTCCACATTCATCTCTCTTCTTACTCTCTGTTTGAATTCATCTGTAGCCCACTCTCCATGTCTGTCTCCATCCATTGACTAAGAAAAGTGACGAAAGCCGAAATGTGAGGACCAAAAGCACAACGCCACTAAAGTGGTGAGTGGTACCACGGAAAAATCGAAATATACGAGAAGGTTTTGGCATCTTCCACTACCTAGTTCATGTATTGAAAGTTAGTTAAGATCGTCCATAGAATATGAACCATATATCAACGTGGAACTAAAAATAGACAAGCACATAGCATAAATTATATGCCATTGGTGCATCTTAGTGATTAAAATCATGCATCTGCATTAACCTAATAGTTTAAACTTAACTCTAAGGACAATTGGTTTTTTGAGATGTTATCAAAATCTCCGTGATCAAGTGCTCCAGAATTCAATCCTTCTTGTTGATAAACTCAGTTTATCATGTTTTTAATTACTAAAATCACTCTTGTATATAGTTAAAGGGGTTTTCGTTTGTCCTTTAACATGACATGGTAAAATTTTCTACACACACAATATTTTGTGGGGCTCACATTTTTTGAAGCAAAAAAAAAAAAAAAAAAAAAACTGAGGCACGGAAAACGAATCTCAGTAACATGACACAATAACTTTTCTTACAACATGACTCTTATAAAACCGTTAAAAGCAAGAAAACTAAGAGTTATTTGGCTAAAAAACATTGACTTTGAATTATTAACTCATTTGAATGTTTTTTGCTTGTTTTGCAGGACAATTGAGTTGAATTTGAGCATTGGAGTATTGGTTAAGCTATAAGGACTTAAAGCATTAAATGAGGAAAAATAATTTAGTGAAAATCTCTGTAAAGCTGTCTTCCGACCAATTTTTCATATCAAATACGATGGATTTAGGTCTTGTGTTCCTCATAGAAGTTGTAGATCTTTATTTTATCTTTCCAACGAGACTAAAATCACATCAATCGGATAAATATAACTTAATTTATACCAAAAATACAAAATCATATTTTTGCTGTCAAAATAGCGTGTTTTAACGTGCTGATATGTGAAGTTCTTTTAGCCAAAGCGTGTTTTAACTCGCTCCATAGTGTTTTAGTGCCCGGTTGCAACCCAAGTAAGGCTCATTATGTGGTTTTCACTTAAAACAAGGATTCTTATACCTATTTAAACTATTCTTCATGAGTTCTTGATATCACTTAATACCGAAGACATAGTTTTCGTTAGAGAAGTGCGCTTTTCATGCTTTTGAGAGCCGGAGATGAGTCGGAGGCAAGATTACGCTGAAATTCTTGAAGATTCACTGTGTCATCACAAATGGAGTTTAGGGAAGCTTTCTTGATTTCTTATGTTCTTGTTTCTACTATGTTATGTTAGTTTTCTTTTGTAATTAGGGCTACATGGAACTCAATCAAATGTTTATGTTATGAATAATATTTAATGTCAAATTTCTTTTTTATATTGAATGAATTTATCTTTTTTTATGTCTTCTATAAGTTTGATCTTGTAGATTGATTTAGGGTGAGTGTATAACAATATAGATGTTAGTACATAAATCGTGTGTGATAAATTCATCGTAATTCTTATGATTCTAGGGATAGATATAGGAGTTAGCAATCTTTATGATTCTTGCATTTAACGCTTATTTTCTTTGACAAACAACCAGGGAACTATGATTCTTTAAAAAGAGTAAAGAATTAGGATGCCAATGAATTGAGTCTTAATTAATTTAGAGAAATCGATTGGTAGCATGAAAATGACATTTAATTAAGGTTTTAATTCATAATATAAAGGGGAGATTGGGGTAACGAAACACTGATTGCATTTATTGTTTGTCAAGTAACTCCATTTTTGCTTTCTTGCTTTATTATTTGGTTATGTTTTCATACAATTCTCTTGATCAATTGTCCAACTTAAGCGTAAATAGCGAATTAGTAAATCTAATTCTCGTAGGAACAATACTTTTACTCCATCATTTTTGTAAAGAACCAATTCAACCCAAAAGTTTAAGTTATTGGGTAAGGCTACATTAATGGTTTTATATATCTCAACACGCCCCCTCACACGAGAGCCCACTAGGCTTGAAGGGTGGACAATGCATAGTCCCACCTATCTGTGCGAACAAAGAAATTTCACTTGAAAGAAAGTGTAAAAAACCAATTCAACCCAAAAGCTTAAGCTATTGGGTAAGACTACATTAATGATTTTATATATCTCAATAATTTTATTACTTGTACAACCGGTACACTTGTCAAGTTTTCAATAATTATCCTCGTTCTTCTAATAATCTTTTAATAAATATTATGAAATTTCTTAACACAAGTAAATAAATATGCGTATTATCCACCCTTCAAATTTAATGAATTCTTATATAATGGACGTGTGAAAATATAATATAAAATATAAAATTATTTCTTTGTTTCCGTCTAATAGCTGAAGTTTTTGGGACAATTGGATGTTTAACGGTGAAGAAAAAAAAAAAGTAGGTTGACTTTGGAAAAGGTGGACAAGTTGTAAGTGCTACCTAATTTGGAGCCATGCAAGGAAATGCTAGCAATGTAACATGCAAACATGTTGCTTGTTTGTCTTTTCTTAATTATATAGTCATGTAGAACAGTACAGTTGACTTAAGTGTTGTGGGCTAAAAAGGCTGAAAGTTATTGCACTTCATCATCACTTTGTTGCTATTGGGTGGGGTACACCATGATAAGAGCTCTCTCCTCGCCAAATTTAAAAGGGGTTGCTCCTGCCAAGGCACGTACAGGTCATGTTCTTAGTACCAATCTAGCTAAGCATAACGAGAGGAACCATACATACATACCTGCATAATTGCCATGGCTCTTAAGATCAAGACCTTCCTTATAGTTCTTCTCTTGGTCCTCATTCCCTTATCTTCAGGTTAGCAAAGTTCTATATATAAGTCAATACAATTTTGCAGACATTTAATTTGTTCCAAACATGTAACATTTTTATTTTTTTTATTTTTCACTTTTAGGCTTGGCTGAAGGCTTCAGGGAAAACATGCATCCTACTCATCACTCACTTTACAAGGTAACTTATTATCTGTCTGTTTTTTTTTAAGTGGAAAAGAATGGACCTTGTAAGCCAGAGCACTTGAGATAAATATTCATGAAGCTACATTGAGGCAAATATAGATGCTTACTTGGGTTTACTAAAGTCACATATGGTTTTTACAACAATTTGCATACAAAATTGTGAACTGTTGTGAATTGTGTATTAACTCAATATTTGATGTCTATATCTATCTTGTTCTTTTATGACAAGTGGTTTTCATTTTGGTTTTGAATGAAGAAGGATGGTATCAAGATTAACTCGAGGAAGCTATTTGCCCATGATTTTGTGTTGGATTATGATGAAGCAGGAGCCAACCCAAAGCATTCAAAGAAACCTGGCAAGGGTCCTTGAATAACTCTACACCTAGTCAATAGTCATATAATAAACTTATATACTCTCTCTGTCTCTCTCTCTCTTCCCCCTCAAAATGTTTTATTCATGTATGAGGAGATATGATATGATTATATATGGACGAGTTTGTTCACCGGAGCCACTACTTGTGTGTGTTTATGACTTATGAGGCAATAAAGTATGATATTTTATAATGTACACCAGATCTTGCATATGTATGTATGGATATTGAGAATAAAGTCTTACCATTTGTTTTCCAACTAGCAATCTTGTTATAGGGAGTAACTTCTCTTATTCGTGGGAACAAAACTTGAGTCTGAGTGGAGAACTGATAAAGATAAAATTTGTTGCTATCTCATGTACAATATTCATTTTCAACTTAATTAATCTTTATTAAAAAAAAAAGGTTTTCTATGGTCTCCACTGTCATTATAATACTGTGAGAATTGAATATAGTTACTATGAAATATGGAGAGCAAATAAGAAATAATTGTCACACGTAGAGACTAACAATATAATATTCCTTATCTCTATATATGAAACTCACTTTTAATTTAATGTATACAGTTGATTACATAATAACTCCATCGTTATAATAGTAAAAGACTGAAGGGACTAAATTAAACAAAAAAATTGTATAATGAATTAAAGGATAACCGAAATAAACAATTATCCATTGTCTAAGCAGGCATGGCAGTTAATTTTTAAACTACAGTATCCAAATGTAAACTTCCTATACTGAACAAGGAAGCCTTCATTTCTAGTGAATAGCTTAGTCATGCAATGTATTGAGTCAGCCATGGAACACAGAATTTTTCTTAAAACTGTTATCCCATTAACTTTCTATTAGAACACTAATTCCTACATTTCTACTGATTTTCATTTCTTGTTATTCTTTTATATATATTTTCTTGTTATTCTTTTATATATATATATATATATATATGTGTGTGTGTGTGCAAAATCATTTCTGCAGCCGCTTTACATACAACAATGACATGTGTATGGTTATGATTCCTTACATTTAATGCTTTCATCCTTTGTATGGTTATGATTCCATGCATTTAATGCTTTCAAATATATATATGACAAGTATTTGATTGTTGCACATACAACAGCTGCAGAAATGTAAACCCCATATATATATAGCAAAATAATTTGTAATGTGACTATATATAAGTATTGGTCACTCGCCTAAAAACTACGTCGTTTTGGATAGGATAAAAAAAATTCATGTTAAAAATTAATTATAAAAAATGAAAATATTATATTTATTTTCACCTTTTTATGGTTATGATTCTCTATATTTAATGCTTTCACACTGTAAAACGACGTAGTTTTATATGACAACATCAATCCTTAGATGCAGGACTGTACATCTGCTAAACCACACACACATATATATATATAGGATTTTATAATTCTCATGTAACATGAGAATAAAAATTTTCCTACACATCATTCGATATTCGTGTTAACATGGGTCTCACACATGACTTTTTGTTTCTATGGCGTAAGAATTCCCTTATCATGTAACATAAAAATTACAAAACTCACATATATATATATATATGGAGAAGGATATTGTAACAACCAAGTTGTGTTACTATTAAGTTACTACCAATAAATCTCACCGTTAGATCGATTATGTTGATCCAACGGTTATATTTATTTCCATCTTTGTATGGTCATGATTTTCCAAATTTAATATTTTATATTTATTTCCACCTTTGTATGGTTATGATTTTCCATATTTAATGCTTTCACTTTAAATATAGGGAATCATAACCATACAAAGATGGAAATAAATACAACCATTGGATCAACATAATCGATCTAACGGTGAGATTGATTGGTAGTAACATGGTAGTAACACAACTTGGTTGTTACAATATCCTTCCTACATATATATATATATATATATATATATGGGACAGGATCCGTTTACAAACTTTTTTTGCAATTACACTAATGTAGGACCGGTCGTACACTGTGTGATTAATGTAGGACCGGTCCTACATAGTGTAGTTTGTAAACAAAAAAGTTTGTAAATATAACCTGCCTATATATATATATATATATATATATATATATATATAGGAGAGAGATCATTTGACTCAATCCTAACCGTTGATTTCCGTCCATCCAACGGTTATAATTTAGGAAGTTATATTAATTAATTAATTATTAATTATACTATTAATGACAACCGTTGATTTCCGTCCATCAACGGCTGGGATTTGGAGTAAAACTTAAAAGTCTTACTCTGGAGTCAAAAGAACCCTCCCTATATATATATATATATATATATATATATATATATATATATATATATATATATATAGGAATACTACACTACTCTCATTTTACATGAATAGTTCTCTCATGCTATAGAGAAAAACTAGGTGGGACCACCATTAAAAGGTAAAAAAAAAAAAAAAGGAAAAACATTTTCTCATATCGTAGGAGTTTTCTTCTATTTATGACCCTTCGATTTTTGTGCAATATTTTCTTTTACTTTTTTAATAGATGTGGGCCCCACATAAAATGTGTCTACAACATGAGAAAATTTTCTCCTACCACATGAGAAAATCGAAACCCAAAAAAAAAGGGTGAAATTTTTAAAATGAAAGAAGAGCTCGTATAAAATAAAATAAGAATAATATTTCTCATGTATATATAGAAAAAGTTTATCCAGCCACAGCACATAGTTTCATATCAACGTCAAAGAAAGTTAAATTTGGCTTTCCAATTCCTGTGGCTGACATACCGTTTCCTACAGAACTTTATAGAATGCGGAGTAAAAAAGTTTGCTTCCTGATCTTTCTAATTATTCAGGTCATATATACTGTTCATCGAAGGCATTTTTGTGGCAAAGATGGACAATGACATTAGACTTTCTCTTCCTTAATTTTGGTATCAATTAAAGTTCTGCATAGAAGTTAATCTGTTCTGCATGCTTAAGATAATGAAAGCCACATATCTCATTTGTCATGAGAACCCAGAAAGAACCATCCAACTTGGATTTTGCAACGATGTCCAACAATTTATTAAAGTAGTGGAACTAGAACAACCTTTCAATCAAAATGGATACCGCTAAAAAGTTAAAAACACTACAAATTCTAAATCAATATTTTTGTATGCCTTATATTATAGCCAAGCTTAGAGAGTTTTGGTCATATACCATTTAGTGTAACAAGATAGGATCCTAGATTCCTAGTAGACAAATTTAAAAAATAAAACAGGTATTTGAAATAGCATATTTTTATAGTTTAAAAAAAAATTAAAATATTTAGAAAAAAAAAAAAAAACTCTTGACAGGAAAGTTAGATTGTGAGACAATTAATAAAAAATCAAACATATTTAAACTGTTCATTTTCTAATGTACTTGAGGAAGTCAAACCCCTGATAATCTAATTACTAATAAATTCAATCTGGTCATTGTGGACCATTTTTCGAAGCTCTTTGAAAAGAAGAAGACATAGACACATTATGGGCCAACACATGCAAAACAATAACTGAATTATAGAATCACAGTATAAAATGAACCCTTCAAAAAAAAATTAACAAGTCCTTAGTGCCCTAAACCAAAGTAGATTCTAAGATGTAAGTCTGTCTATAATATATACATTACTGGCATTTGTTTAATCTATAAAGAAAGCTGTGATGAAAACCAGATTCCAATAGACACAATTCCCATAGTGGCAACGGCTTGGACCAGCTCAAATATAATATTTTGTTGCTGCAGTGGCACATTCTTCCAATCTGTCCGCCTGCAAGAACTCAAAATAAGACACAAGGTAATTAATGGTAAAAGAATTATCAACTTATTTGATTAATAAAAAAAAATAAAAAAGCACAACACTTTTGCAGCAGGTTCAACTTAATATAATTTTCTAAATTCCTTAAGGGCTTTATTTCTCTCATGTTATAGGAGAGATGTTATCTTATGTTGTGAGATAAATTAAGTGAGGTCCACTAATTTTTTTAAAAAGAAAAAGAAAAAAAGAGAGGGGCACATCTTTTTATGTGAGTGTGACATGAGAGATATATCTTATGTAACATAAGAGTATAATTTCTCATTCCTTAAACCACATTTTACTGAACTCCGCCTTGTAAAATGCTCTGATTATGGAAACATTCCATCCTTCTTGTTAGAAAATAAAATATAAAGTATTAAAAAGATCATCACCTATCACCTTAAGGTTTTGGGTTGAAGTGGTTCTTTACCTGATATCAGAGCTTAAGTAACCACAAGGTCACGAGTTCGATCCTCACTGCCCCCACTTTCAGGTGGAATTAAGAAAAGCACAAGACAGACCAAAAAAATGGGCTTGTGCAGCACAAGGCAGACCAATAATGAGCTTGTGCCATATCCACACTTAAGCCCAAAGAGCTCTTGCGTGAGGAGGTGTGTTAGAGAATAAAATATAAAGTATTAAAAAAATCATCACCTATCACCTTAAAGTTTTGGGTTTTGGGTTGAAGTGGTTCTTTACACTTCATAGAAAGAATTTCCATAACTAGACTATGAATTTTACTAAATGCTAGCCCCAGTTTTGTTTTTCACAAAGGCCAGGCATATAATCAGAACTTAATTACTGTTGGAGACATTAATATAAGGGAAAAGTGTCTATACTTTTAAATTACACAACTTACATGCTTTCACTCTCACAAAGAGGTGGGACCCACAACTTTATTTTTTTTTGTCAACTCTCTCTCCTCCTTTATCTATCTCTTTCTCTCTCTTATGACACAATTTTACATCTTCAAAATTATACACACTTTTCCCTTAATATAAAACAATAAATGTGGTCATCACTTACTAGCTAACTTAAACTTTGATACTATATAAAGCATCAATTCAACCCAAAAACTTAAGTTGATAAGTGATGACCACATTAATTGTTTTATATTAATATCTCTAACAATTACCAAAGTCCAAAGTCATATTTACTTGAGAAAATACATACCCTAAATCGGCAATTATAATGCTGACATTATCCTGTGTACGTCGGTCCTGCAGAGTATATGGTTATATATTACTAAAACTGTTTAAGTGTCTACATAAAAAGTTCATGATAACAACTGCCTCAGAATTTGTTAGAACTTACCAATGCGGCTTGTGCAAGAGCTTCACAAGCTAGCTGAAATAAGAATAAGCAAAAAAAATTATTCCTGCAACTTCAATGGCTTATTGATATGAGTGCAATGGCCTTAAATATAAAGCATTATGTATACCTGAATGTTTCCATGTTGTCGTAGTTGATCCCTCACAAAAGAAACTGCTTCTGAGCTGAAATGGTAGAAAGAATGTGAAGGTAATTCTATGAAGAATAAGAAAAAGAAAGGTAGCAGAAAGAGATGATTATAAGGATCATGCAATAGACCTGCTCATGTAATCCCATAAGCCATCAGATGCTAATACTATAAATTCTGTGTCTGAGCCAAGAGCAACTTGATAAATATCAGGGCATGCAACAACCAAGTCATTGTTGAGCTGTACACTGGGTCACAAAAGCATCCTTATATTAAAATTTAAGAGTTTTTAAAATTAGTTAAAGATCAATTTGAATGTGACAGTAGATCAATTTCTTTTTATGTTGTTCTCAGTGTATGTTGCAGAAAATCTGAAAACAACAAAGCTAATGATGGCAAGTGAAAACCCTAATCATAAACTCAACATTTGACAATCAAAATGAAGCTTTGAACCATTCTTCCTCAAGGAATTCAGTACTTCCAAGGACAGAAAAGTATCATTCACACTTTCTAGGAGGCTAACGTTATCAATGCCTTCCATTTGTCTTTCTAGTAATTTATTCTTTTTAGCAAGATATAAATCAAGACAAAACAATTCATATCCCTTCTCTTTTCTAAATACTAATCTAATACAACCTACATTGAAGACAGAATGCAAGGAACAATTATTAAGACACACGTAAGATTACCTACCGAGAAATAAACTTTTCTGTCCATCTTCCTTCCTGAACTCCTTTTTGCAGCATCCTTTTCACAAGCAAAAGGTAAATAACCCTTAGGAAAAACTTAACAGAAGTATTGATAAAAAAATTAGCATAAATTCCTTTATACAAGAAGCAATTATGCAGGGATTAAGGACTGTACTCATTCTTCTTTGTTTTGAATCGAATGTCCCCAAATGCACGAGATACAGCAATGTCTCCACAAATTCTACCATTGACAATCTATAGACAACATACATTTGAGTTATCATCAGCCATATAATGGGCTTTTACTTATAATAAGTAAGGAATTGTGACAACCTTCATTAGAAAAAGGGTGGCCCACTGCATAAGGCTCCCACAATTGTGGTGAAAAACTTCACAAATTATGGAAAAGAAACAACCGCAAGCTCAATTTAACATGACAGGCTACAGTAGGAAGAAGCTACATTGATGTTTATGTGACAGTATTTAACTGTGGTTCCCTGGTGGGAAACAAATTACATTACATGGTGTAGTTTCTCCACATTCCAACCCACAATACATGAATAATAAAACTAGGAAAGAGAAAATGATTATATGTCCTATAAAATTTCAAGTTAGTCCTGACAACTTTCATATCAGAATTTAAATTCTCATTATATAGAACATTGATATATATTGACTAGCGAAGGTGGTCTAAAAGTATGTAAACAAAATGAAGGAACAAGGAAAACACACCCATCCACCTGCTTCTCTGATTCTTTTGATTTCTTGAAGAGAAGCCTTGTTGCTCCCATATGGTCGGTGTGGACTTGTCAGCACTTCTGCTTTTCCAGATCTGCATAGAACCTACAAGAACAAACGAGCTTAAATAGAAGTCATGTAATATTGAAGACATTTAATCCCCAAGATACCCTAATTTAAAGACTAGAACAGTTCCCGTGATAGATTATTTCTTGATAATTCTTGTGAAGAGAAAAGTATATAAAGAAGTAGAATTTTTCATCAAAAGCTGGAGTCAAATGTAACATGTTGGGGCACAATAAGTATTGATAATACATACCACAGATGAGTCACCAATATGTGAAATGAGTAGTTTATCATCTCCTATGAACACCGTAGTAGCTGTAGCACCTGATTCATCCTCCTCTCCATTCATTTCAAGCCTTTAAAAATGAAATACTGTCTAAACTCTAAACCTTAAATGCAATAATACCAAATCTAAAATCATATGGTAACTATTTAGACACATTTCATGGAGACTATCCATTGTAGACTAGTTTATTGGCTTACCATTTTAACAACCTCGTGTCAGCTTTGACAAATGCTTCCTGTAATGCTTCTTGAATGGCTTTGAAATCTTTCTCAACTAATAGTAGCCCACCTTGTAAAGTTTCAAGACACTCCTTGTATAACTCATCCCTGTAGTTGGCACTTGGCACATTAAATCCACAGTTCAGATTATGCAAAGAATAAAACTCATTTACCAGAATCAAAAGAAATAACTTATCCTTACAGCTCAAAGAAGAATGAAAGCATGGGTGGATGAACTCTCTAACTTGTAAATAAAGATTTGATGGGATGAGTTAAACATTTGAAAATATTGCAGAAGACTAGACAAACTGTGACCCACACTCCCCAAATACATCAACTATAAAACCACTTCCCAGATACGCAATTTTACCCTTGCATAATTACATAGGATTCAGGCTATGTTATAGTTAATGAATTCAAATATGCTTAAAAAACATAGCCTAAATCATATGCAAGATGGAGCTTTTCAATTCTTTTCAAGTGCCAACACAATAAAAAAACTGCTACCCAGCATCAGTTCACACACCCCAATATGGAATTAATTGGATACAAAATAAGCAAGCAACAAGCAAAAAGACAAAATTATTTTTTTTGCAAAGACCTGAGGAACTGAACAGAAGAAAACCCTCCATGCCCATCAAAAACAGCTGCAAAAGAGAAGCCTTCAAGTCCATCAGGTCGAACAATAATATCATCTTCCATCTCTTCGCGGAGACCCTGCAAAGCTATGGATCCCCATCTTATACAAGGCACCTCAGCCAAAGATGATGGGGCATCAATGGTTATGGCAGAGCAGCACTGGCTTCTGCTCGTGATGGTAAAGATGTTTCTCTGAGTGTTCTTGAAGGTGGAGCGGCTATGGAGCTTGCTTAAGAGGAACCTTTGTATTTGTGGACTTGACAAGGCCATCAGCTACTCAGTTAAGGCCTAGAAGTGAAGGGAATGTGAAGCTGAGAGAGTTGTTGTTGTGGTGAGTTTAGTTTTGGTGGAAGGATAGATAAGTGAGTTAATAGAAGCCTTTAACTGCTTTAACGGATTGGATTCTTTGATGGGATGAGATTCTCTGCAAGGATTTAGTTGTAGCAATTAACCTTAATGAATTTGTCTAACACAGGACCCACCCCAGAAACAAATGGTATGTGTTTTGTTGTGGCCAGGTTTGTTTAAACCAGAAGCATGTAACTCACCAATGTTACTTTGAGTGGTCAAACTAGAATACCTGATTTTCTACAGAATGCATGGTTGTGGTTTGGATCAGATAAAGTTTGGCTGGTACACGAGTCAACAAGATAGCTCACATTTGAATCCAACACTAAGCCGCAAAAACCATTTATGCTTTTACGTGAAGTAAAAAAATATACTGTGGATGCTCTTTGCAAATTAATCTATACGTAAGTAAATTCCAATGCATATCAAGAATTCAAAGTTCATTAAAAATACTTTATAACTCGCAGTAAACTAAATACATGTATTTAGGTACTTAAATTTTAAGAAATCATCATTTAAAAAATATTTCCAATAAGATTTAATCCAAATATACAAAATGTCCGGTGAAAAATTAATCTTATTTTTAAAGTATATAAGTACACCTTGTAATCATTATTATTTTATTTTTTTAATGGTTCCATTCCTCGTGTCCGTGCAAAACGAGATTTTAAAGTCCGACGCAGGCAAAGGTTGATTACAAAAACAAAACGATTAACGTTTTTCCGTCAACGATATAAAATTATCCCTTATACGTATATAAAAATATGTAAAACTTATATGGATCCATGTAAAAAAAAAAAAAAAACATGAGAATACTAAAAAAAAAAACATAAACCTTAGACATTTTTATTTGTAAAAAATAAAATAATCTCCTACGACCTAAAAAACATCAAACCCAAAAACAAATGCAATGGTAGTCAAAATCCATTTTCAATTTCTTCGCAATGAGTATTGAAGATAGCTTTAATTTGCATACATACAAACAATAGCAGCAATTTAGAGACGGAGATCAATTATTCTAAAGTGAAGCAATGTGTAAATTCTTATCCATAGTTTAAGATCTCATCATAACATTTTATCTGGACTCATGTAAATTCTTCTTTCAAATAATGAGGCCCGGGCTTGAAGGGATCAGACTCAGCATATGCCTCTGGTCGGTAAATTCCAGAATCATTCATTCGGTTGCTCAAAACATGAAGAATGGCCTTCTTCTCTAATCCATACTCTTCCCTGTTGCTTTCAACATAAGCCTCGGCCTCCTCTGCTATCTCATTCACAAAATCAAATCGATTATCTTCTGATAACAATAACCTCTCTATGTCCATTGTCAAGAGCTTTCCCTGGTCCCTTATCATCCTCACCTGCTCCTCGAGAAAAGGCACACGTTCCATTTTTTGGTCCAAATATTCATCCTTTTTTATCTGCAACAAAATGAATTTTTGCTTAAACATTCTCATTAATCAGAGGAGGCTGTGGCAATACCATGAATAACGGAAACTATTATTCACCAGCATAAACATTTAGTATTCATTCTACAGTTATTCATTTCGCCAAAATACTTAGAAAAGAAGAAAGAAAAGCATTGCAGAATCTTCCTGTGCATAGTCCCCTTTATTGCGTGCATCAAGATTCAGCAGAAAATGAGTATCAATTGAGACTTATATATACCAAATATAGGGAGATGTCCAACCATGATAAAAATAAGCAAAGATATGAATCAAATTGAATTTGGGTTGTCTTTATCACAGGAGATGAGCAAAAGCAGTTATATTTTGCAAATCTTTATGATCTTTAATAGCAACAGATACCTCTGTAAATGTTGTAGCATGTTTACTTGGAATGCCATGAAGCTATCATGTGCAAAACGTAAAACTCCAGCATACAGATTGCTAATTCTGTTTCACTGCTCCAGTCTACTTTCAAATCCTACAATCCAACAAATCAGTCTACGGTAGTACCATTAACTCTACTTTCCTATCTAAAATACAAAGTGTTGCTTCAACTAAAACCCTTCCTTTCCAGCAAATGAACAACCTTGGGTAAATGCTTCGTAAGGAAATACCATTTCCTGATTTATCAACTTGCACTTAAAAGCAAAACCTCTTCCAATTGAGGCTAATGCCCAAGAGAACTACAAAGTACAAATAAACACCTAACCTCACTTTGCAATCCCAACTCTTTAAGCTAAAGAAATTAAAACACTTTATAAGTTAGCTATTACTTTGCACTAACAGTAGTCCCACAATTAGGAACACCTTGAAAAAACTTGTTTACAGCCTGAGCATAATCTGATAATCCCAGTAAACTTTCTAAACTGGGCAACAAGTACAACAATAAAGCAAATGCTTTTCTTTCTAATCGTGTGTCGTTTGCTCAATGGCTCAATGCAAACACTTTTTTTAATTTTTTTTATTTGGGAAATTTAGCAAACAGCTAAGAGGCAAGCATAAACATAAAACCCCAAAAGTCCAAACTGTAAGAAAAAAACAATATGGGTTCAGAAGATACCAATTTTCTTCGCCTCCAAACTCGCCGTCCACGACGCTCCTTTCGCATTTGTGGCACCATCTTGCAAAATGAATGCATAAACAAGTTCAGTTTGGGACAAACGCAAGATTCGAAATTTTCAAATTCCTTCTACCTGCGAGCTAACGCAGAGGCTCGGGCTCCATGAATTTCCACCTCTTAACTCTAACTTCTGCAGAAAATTGAAGCAACAATTTCAGAAGAAAAATAAACATTTGAAAGAAAAAATTTACAGAAAAAAAAAATTGTTTTACTTATCGTATTCTCGGAAAACAAACACAGATTAATAGGAGAAAAGGAGAATTACAGGTAGAGTGGTAGATAGAGTGATGGGGTTGAAGCGAATAGCCATGGCTGTTGGGGTAGCGTGCTGTGTATTGTTAGCGATATCAGAAAACCAACATGATTCTATAAACTTTAATAGAATATTTAATTTAATTAAGAGAATATAAGGATAAAATTACGTAAAGGATTATCATTTCTGCTTTGGTGGTAAAAAAAAAAATCTCACCAATGAAACATAAACAATGAAAGACAAAGCATAGTGGAATGAGAGAAAAAACAATAACGGGGCACGCCCATGCCCATTCTTTTTTATGTTTCAATGATGTATTTTATTAATCTTACGTTAAAGGAGATAAGTTATCTCATGTCATAGAGATAAATTGTGAGCTTCACTATCTGAAAAAGAAAAGAAAAAGGTGGCACAATTATAGAAGGGTATGTAAAAAAGAAAGTTTTCATATGTAGCACAAGAGTTTTCCTTCAATGATAGCCACACCCATGCCCATTCTTTTTTATGTTTCAATGATAGAAAAAAAAAGGAAAAAGTGTGTGTCATTTTAAAGGATGTAAGTTGTATCATTTTAAGAGAGAGATAGATAAAGGAGAAGAGAGAGTTGACAAAAAAAATAAAGATGTGGGTCTCATCTCTTTGTGAGAGTGAAATAATATAAGTTGTGTTATTTAAAAGAATAAATATTTTTCTCAAATCAAATTCTATCACTAGAGCAAAATTGGTAATCCCAATTTTTAATAGTTAAAATATTGCCTGTGTCTCAAAAATATTTCCCCTAAAAGGTACAATGTTTGTCCCGTTAATTTTTTAATAATAAAAATTATTCTCAAAATTCTTTTAGCGTTTATTGTTTTTCTTATTGTTTTAAAATTCGGACCTGTCATTGATTCGGTGGAAGTATTGGGTTAGTAGATTATTGGTTCAATTGGATTCAATCGAATTTACTATTCACATAATAAAAAAGTATAAATTGATTCACAATGATAGCAAATATTATATACTTATAGACTTTTAGCTCTAGACCATATCCTAACATTGGATTAAAATTGCAATATAAGCTAAATGCACCTTTTGTGTCTTGACATAACACGCATAAACTAAACCATGATAACAAATAATAGACATAAAATATAGATTAAGGAGAAAGTGTTCACAGTTGAGATGAGACCATCAGTGTTTATCCTCGTTTAATTTCTTGAGATCATTATAAGATGCAGCTAAATTACATAAACGAACTGCACTAATCCAAAATACATTTTTTATTCTTATCTTACTTTTTAATCCTATTTACCACAAAATTTAAACATGATTTAAAGAGTTCTCAGCAACAATAAAAAGAAGATTTACAAAACAAAAAAAAGGGGTCAATCGGATCACCGAGCCGCAGGGTCAACCAGTCCAAATTGAGTTGACTGCAGAACCGGTCCAAATGACAACTCGAACCGGGGAATCCACCGGGTCACCGAGATCCGGGTCGACTCGATTGATCCAAGCCGGTTTTTAAAACACTAGTTTCTCTCGTAAAAGATAAATTTATCTTTTACATATGATAAAAAGTGTATAGGATTTATATTTTTTTATTCTCTCTTCTCACATTAATCCATATGAGCCCTCACATATTTTGATGTGTGTGTAATAGATTTATATATATATATATATATATATATATATATATATATATATATATATATATATATATATATATAATATAAAAGTGAAAATCCCTCAACACTAAAATTAACTCAGGGAAATAAATTTATCTCTTGAGAAACAATAAATCCATTCTTTTAAGGTTGCTATTGCTAATTCGAAGACCGACAGATACATATTCAAGAATCTCGAATATATAGCTTCTACCGTCAATGTCCGTTTAACTCTCTCTTTTTTGGTGTGGCGTTTAACTCTTATTTAATTACATATGTTAAGAAGTGATTTCGATAAATAAATAAAATAGAAGTTAAGCTCAAAAATCAAAATACAATAGCAAATAGATTCATTATTTAAAAAAATATTCAAAATAATTATTAAATATTAACGTATTATTATATATTTTTTCAATATTTTAACCAATAAATTAAAGATATAAATAATTATTGAATTTACTATTTTATATTTTTTACCTTTTATATCACTGCTTTAAGAATAAAGTATTGAAGTAAATAGATTTTTGAGAAATTGATATTAAAAATTTGCAAATAATTAATGTATTTGCATAACAACTTGATCTTTTGACGATGGTGGACACAGAAAGGGACGTGGGTTGCCCTCGCCCCTCCTAAACTTTGATATTTTTTTAGTTTTATACTATGTTGTATTGATACTGACATAGGATGCGGGATATGACACTTCAACACATTAATTCTAAAAAATATTACTGACACATTAGGATAGATTTTGATATTAAATAATATTTTTAAAATATATATATATATATAATATAATTACAATTAATACATATAACTACCATAATAAATCATACAATCAATTAAATATTCAAATTTCATAATATAAATATAAAGAAAAATATTTTTCATACTTTATTAATTTTTTATGTCAAATTTCATAACAAAAAATATTTAATTTATAAATTAATTTTTCATGTTTAGTTAAAATGATAAAATAAAATTTGGATCTACATGAATGTCGACCGCGTGACAAAAAATATTGATCGCGTGTCGAAGAACGTTGACCACGTGTCGGAACGTGTCGATGTCCATGTATTTTTTCACAAAAATTAATGTGTTGGTGTTCAAGTCTTTTATATATATATATATATATATATATATATATAATGATAATTTTTATAATAATAATATACTATTAATCTTAATAGTTAGTCACTTCCTAAAAAATATTTAAAACAATTAGCCATTTCTTGTAGTCTTAATAACATTTATAATATTGATATTTATTTTTGCCCCATATTATAAAAAATATGGGGTCCGCTATTGTCTTTCAAAGATCATTTTTCAAAATATTGGGTTTATGGTTATTTTCAATATCTAACTATTATTTCCACAATTGTTATTTGATTTTTCATGCACGCTAACATCACTTTTTTTTTCTAAGCATGGAATATTAGCGGGTTTTTTCACCCTTTTGCTCCTCATTAATTATTTAATAACTATTTTGCCCCTTATTGCAAACTATCTACCAATCTGTCCTTCTTTAATCGATTAAATTGAATATTTAATCGAATAAATGGTCAAATGAAGATTTAATCGATTAAATCTTCAACTTAATCAATTAAATCTTTCTTTTTATCAGAAGAACAACCTTATGCATGGGAGATTTAATCGATTAAATAGGGAGATTTAATCAACTAAATCTTCAAGTCAACGATTTTTGCCTATTTTGACCATTTAATTGATTAAATTTTTGGCTTAATCGATTAAAGAGGAGCAGATTGGTAGATAGTTCTGAATAAGAGGCAAAATAGTTATTAAATAATTAATGAGGGACAAAAGAGTGAAAAAGCCAATATTAGCGTGTATGGTCATCAACTATGGAAGGTTTCGATGATAGTTTCTCAACTTGAATTTTAACATCAATGTAATTTTCAAATATTGTTAAGGTTTCACAATTCAAAGTTGTTTTCTCTTCTTGAAAATCATATACATTTTTTAAAGATTCAATTTGATTTTCAATTAAAGGAAATACTTTGTAAACTAGCCAAATTTTTCCCTTGCAAATTTAACAAATTATCATTCAACTCATCATATGCATTTTTTTTATTACATAAGGGGGAATTATAACACCTCACATAATTGAAAATACATTATTATGATTGAATTGTAGATTAGAGGGTTTAATTGGTGAAAATCCTGAATTTCGGATGAAAATGCACTCGAAGGGTAAAATGGTAATTTGACAATTACTGAACCTAAGATTATGAAATGATATATTAGACATTATTTGGTGAAAATAATGTTGAATTTGGATTCAGAATGAAATTTGGAAGTGGATAGACACTTTTCTGAAAAATTGATGAATAGTAATTTTTAATGGATGAAATATCGCAATATAATTTTACTGAGAGGCTCAAAAATTATATTATTATTCTGAGAATGGACATATGTTGAAAGAAGTGTATAGAACCAAGAGAAATAATTATTTGAAGAATTTTGATATTTTTTGAAAAATACAATTAGTTTGTGAATAGAGGCAAAAATGAAATTATGCAAAAATTGCCCGGATCTTTTAAACATTGTATTGTAGAATTATTAAACTATAATTATGCATCTTGAATTTATGAAAATACCTAAGTCTTGAAATTAATTAAGATTTCAAGAAGATTAATTAAGTAAATTGAATTTAGATATTTTAGAAACTTTACTAAAAAGTCAATAAAGGTGGCTATTTCTAATTGGTCTTGAAATTGGCCTTAAAATCTCATCTTCTTCCTCCCTAAACATGTCTTGGCTGAACCACCATCGGAGATAGAGCTTGATTTATAACATTTTATTTTGACACCGAATCAAGAAAGTTACAATACGAAAAATACTCGGAATCTCTTGGTGATTAAAAACCCTAAAAGAATTCTTTGAGAAAGTGAGTGTGTGAGGAGGTCCAAGTGTTTAAAGGTGGCAGTTTTGTAAGGTGAGAGTAGCCATTGTTGGTGGTTTTTGTTACTTGAAATCTTGTATATTGATCTTTAGAAGTCTAAGAACCTATTGGTGGTAAGATTTCTCAATTTCACTAAGTGTTTTATAGGGATCAAAATTTTGGACATAATATGATGTGTATGTTGGTGAGCATGGTTAGAGAGGTGTTATGACTATGTTTCTTTGGAATTTATTGTTCATATGGATAAATAATCGGTAGAAATGCAATAAACGTTTAAGTGATTTTGATGTCAACACTTAGATAAATTATCAAGGATAAAAGAATGATGATTTGTGAAGGAAGTCTTTGATGGATGATGTAATTGATTGGTGGTTGTTTGAATCATTAATTATGAAGTTTAAAAAGAGTTTTAAGCTTGTGAATTGTTAAAAATTACCTTGGCCACATTATGTACAAATTTGGCCATGTTGAGGAAATTAAGAAAAAATATTGTAAATTGTGTTGTGGCTTGATGGAAGGTGTATGAATGTATTGGTGATTTGGTTGATAAGGTTGTTTAAGTGATGATATTGGTTTGTTGAAATTAAAAAACAAT